CCCATACGATTCTTCCGCTCGGCGTCGATTATTGTAAAAAATCGATCTTTTGTTTTGTTACTTTTCGTCCTCTTACACCAAAGGCAGACTCTACTTTGTTTATATTTTCATCGCTATTCCTATACTTTTTTCGAATAGTAATGTAGGAGTGAATGTGCTTTTATTGTTAAGAAAAATCGATCTTCTGGGGAAAATCGAATACCAAAGAATCGATTAAAAGAATCGATTTTTTTACCGAAAGAATCGATTTTCTACAGAATCGAATCGGAGTCGAACATCCCTAGTTCGGACTACAGATAAACGGAGGAGGTAAACTTCCGTACATCCAGTTTACGCGCAGTAGTCAATTCGAAAAACGAACTACTGCCTCGATCTTTGATCTCTCGACGAGCATCGTCGAACTTTCGAACTTACGTAACCCATGCTTTCGGTAATATGATTTTCCATTGGTTATAGCGCTTATGGCCCCTCCGAGAGAGAAAGCACGGTCTCGTTTCGACGTTATTACGGAACTTGCGCAAGGCGGGATCGCTGCCCCGACCGGTTTAATTGGACGCTCTTTGTTTTAATTAATTCGTGGCCCGTGTGTTTCTTTCAATTGTTCCGGGACGCGCGTTTGAACTCGCGGCACATGCTTCGCGAATCCATGGATCCGCGTAACAGTATCTTTATCGCGCTAATTAAACGTTGTTCGCCAAGTTCACTGTTAAGTAATTAAGAGAACGAGTGATTTATCGCGAGTCGTCTGGCTGAGGCGAATAAAGGAATGATCCGTGGCAATTGTTCTGGCTCGAAAGTAAAAATTTTCACTGTCGGGGAATAAGTACGTAGCAACGCGATTTTGTAGAAGCTTGGAGGTAGGAAAATGCTTGGTACCATCCGTTATCTTATCCTAGATTATTAAATATAATTAATTTCGATGGCTGAAAGAATCTTGTTGAATGTTGGTGTACGACTTAATGATGTTTAAAGAGTAAAAGGACCTCGAAGTGACCACCGAAATACACAGGCGCGGTCACGCGTTCTCCATTTTGGAAGAAAAAGTTGCCAAAGGAAACGAGGAACTGCGAGAGAGTCAAGCGGGATCAAGACTCGATCGCGACCAGTGCAAGTGTATTTTTTATTCCCGTGGATCGTGGCACGGCCGGCGCATTCTTATTTTTCTCTTATTTTTCCTTTTTGTTTTTAACTTCCTCCTCCTCTTCTTCGCAATCTCGAAACTGAAGAGGTAGGTCTGTCTCTTCCATTCCCGGCGGTGTTTATATCTCGCCGGCAGCGGCTGGTTGCGTTAGGTTCCTCGACCTTGCCGGTCGTGCAGGTTTCAACTTGCAGGCACCACCAGACGTCTCCGTATATACCGGGTGTATCCACCTCGGAAGTAATACCTGACACGAAAGTGGACGCTCCTCTGAACCTGTGTAACCCCTCCATTCCCATAGCTCAAAGTGTAATCTAACATCAACAATTGTCTTTAGTTTTATCGCTAGAAAAAAAGTCAAAGAAAGTATGTATCGAGTTCACTTGTTTATTTGTGTATCGGAGGGTTCGATAAAAAGCCACAATTTTCAATGGAACCCAAAAAAGGTCGAGCGTTATAAAGATCAAAGAATGCTCGAAGCTTTTGAGTCCCGATTGACTGCAACAATGCGCGCGATAACTGCCCACCGACACTCCTATCGACAACCTGATCTCTCGAGTACGATCATTTTTGATTCAGCCCCAACCGAATGGGCAGTTTCACACAGACGACTGCCGTAATCAATCAGTTAGCGGGGTCCGAAAGAACAGTTGGTCGCTTGACCACGCCCTATCATTTGAGGGTTAATGGAGCGATATCTCTACCGAGTACTCAAGTGTACACACTGTTCACAATAGAGGTTCGCCTACTCAAATGACTCTATCGCTGGGAGTGAAACAGTTGCATAGGTAATACCTTAACCCTTTCCACTGGTATTTGTACGCAACCAGTCCTGACCGCGTAAGGAATTTAAGGTTTCTTCCAGTGCGATACGTCTGTCTTAAAATAAATTTACTTAAATAATAGTTTCGGGCTCTAATAGTTTCAAACGGTGTATCTTCAACGCCCACATTTGAAGTAGAAATTAACTACGAAGAGATAAGATCCGATTGGTGTTATTTCACCCGACTGGCAGATATATCGATCTGTCGCGCGTGTATTAATAGCCGTAATAATGATTTCCAAGCACGACATAACGCGTTTAAATTTATTCCCGTTTTCGCCTCCCGCATGGTTTCTCGGTACGGGGCACCTCCTGCATCAGGGTTATTATTGAACTCGCTATTTCCGAAAACCGTCACGACTCCGCAGCCGTCATTGCGTTCTTCCTGGAAGCAGCAACGCGGCATGAAAATTCTAAAAGGATCGGAATATACCGTCTTGGAAGCATGCCGCTCCTCAGGGAAAGCCTGACACGGGATAGATTCTGATTTATTAGAGGACGCCTCCGATCCTCTGTTTTGCTATTTATTGGGTTGTCCGGAAAGTTCGTGCCTATTTTTAAGAAAAATTCAAAGGCATATTTGAATTTTGATGTATATTTAGTGAATTATATATATATGTACCATTTATATATATATATATATATATATACATATACATATACATATATATGTATATGTGTATATGTGTGTGTATATATGTATATGTGTGTGTACCATTTATTGAATTATATATAAATAAAATAAAGTAACTAAAAGAAAAAAATGGTATATATATACCATATTTTTTTAATTACTTTATTTAAGGTCACATCAACTACAAGGTTATTAGTGACCACGTTAATATCTAAAATTCAATTACAATTTCATCATTATTTGAAATTTAGTTAATAAATCTACTAGTTTGAGAAATTCGTTTCTCTTATTGAGAATCGTCTGCATATTATTTAAAAGTTTGAACTCTACAAGATCGTGCTGTATTCCTTGACATTCTTCAATTAAATTCTCAAACTTGTTATAGCTACTTGCAGTCTTCTATTTGGTAGGGTCGGAGTTGTATCGCTAGTTGATTTTCGGATTTAGTGTAGATTCGTTTGGTGGCATGTACCATTTTGTTCCACAACTTATCCACCTTTTAAGGAATGTACACATGTTATTTATTTTCAGCCATTCCGACATATTCAGACCTTTGCCGTCTACTAAAAATCGGCATGGAATTTTCCAGAGAGCCCAATATTTGTCAACCGTTTTATATTGCTTGTCTGCCTTCGAATAAATCGATCCAGCCGTTCGATAGACGCGTCGATTGTTATCGTTTGGAACCAAAGCTGTGCCGATAGCTTCGGAACAAAGCTATCTATACCAGGACTGAATTGGCGTTTCTTGTCGCGCGTAACGCAACGTTTATTAGTCAACAACTCCATGCATCGAATCATTTGTCATCAAATTTATTTTTCAGTAGCTTTCGTCATTCCCCTATGGCTTCATACCAAAGGTCTTTCCTGGGCAAAATATACAGAAATGTCAGACACGTTAAATTGTGACATCGTCGTAATTCAAACTCGACGCTATGCAAATTTCACTCTGGTATTAAGAAGAAGAATTAACATTCGAATCATCTTGAATTCCATCGGTAGAATTCTCGAACAGACGCGATGTACAAACCATGGGAACGCTTATTGGATTCTATCCCCTATTCGATTTAAATGCCACGTTAAAAGCGTATTACTATGAGAATTACTGGAATAAATTAACGAACCTTCGGGAACATGGTAGCGAACGATTACGTAACCGATTGCATTGTTCCGAAACCAATTCCGAATTCTCGATCCGTTTGTATGCATACGCCGCATCCGGAGAAAGTTCAGTGCGTGCGAACTAGACCTAGTGAACTTTATCAGTAGAGAACTCGATAATTCTTGCCTTTATCGCGCCGCTTTAAGCGACCAGTTCCTTGCCATGACTAATCCGAGTCGTCTTCAGAATGACCTATGGAGACCACGATCGCAAAAATTAATTATTCTGGTAATAAAATTGCCCCTCTGATTCTGAAATTAAACGAATATTTCTTTTGTTTGAGAATTGTTACATACCTTCTCGAAATTATTTTGCAATTACGATACTTATATTTATAGGTAACCCCGAGGATGAGTGGAAACGTTAACAAAAGTGCTAGTTTAAGATTGCCCGTAGTTGTCTTTTTCTTACGTTAATTACTGTATACTGCATCGCGAACCCTTGGAATGCCAAATAAATTATTTGTTGGACCGCCGCGGAGATCTGTCGTAGGCATACCTGCTCGGTAACGACTACCTGTTACCCGTTTAATCGCTACCCATGTTCCAAGAGGTCCAGTTCTAGTCGTTTGCACCGCGAACGACGGGGAAGCGATTCTTTTACCTTCAGGAAACCTGGCGACAATCATTGGTGGGATTCTCGTTAGTTGAGCGCTTTAAAAATAATATAAAATAGTATTGCGAATATTCTAAAAACCGTACATTGATACATATCATGTATTAATACTAAACATTAACTCTATCGGGTTCAGTATCTCCGGATGAAAGGAAAGTTGTACCGAAAGCAAATTACAAAAACAAATTACGATCCTGCACGCGTTCCATAATTCATCAGTTTTCATTTCATGATTAATTCAGTCGCTTATTCGCGTACTTTCTAGAAAAGTATTCAAATATGTAATAATTTCGCTATTAACCAGGTTAATCCAGTCCAATAATTATACCACAATTATACTATTATATAGTTGTAATATTTCGTGATTACTAATAAACCTGAAATCGTAACGATTAATTGCCCATTCAATGGGATGATAATTATGATCGTTAATCGTTAATCAGATTACATTTAGCCCAACGTTATCTGTGAATGACGCTAATAGGTCACGACTTAGCATTCACGCGCACCGGTACACGGCATAAATCATTGATGTTTCCTCCGTGGATCTATCGCGATAGGCCAAGTTCTTCGCGCTTTTTGTCATGGGAAACAGTCGATAAGATCTCCGTATGCTTTGTGTGTTCCAGAATTTCCAGGACTTGGAAGCAGAAAAGGCAATAATGGGCTCGATTGTGTACTGCATACATCAGAAGGACGGCTGCAAGTGGTCGGACGAACTTAGAAAGTTGAAGGTGGATATCATAATTCTAGCAATAATATTTTCAAGCTTGTACTCCCTATATGAAATGTTTACACTGGAGAAACCCAGTCATGTAACCAGTACAAGCATCATTTTGTTCGTATTGTCCTCTATAAATCCTTGTAAATAATTAGAGTTATCATGTAGTACTCCTTGAATTGAAACGACGCCATCTTGTATAAATAAAATAAATGTATTACGTTGCATTGAAATATTTGTACCGTTCTGTTTAGGCTCACCTGAATACATGCAAGCACGACGCGGTGCCCTGCAGCAATAAATGCGGCGCAATGATTCCGCGTGTACTCATGGAGGACCATTTGAAGTACACTTGCGCTCAGCGACGAGCTCGCTGCGACTTCTGTGCCAAAGAATTCACCGGTCACACGCTCGAGGTAACTGCTCCTGCATTAATTAGAGAACAGCGATCGTGTGCCAGCTATTAACTGTACAACTTGGGAACGGAAAGAGAGAAAAGCGTACAGATGAAAGGAAATCTTTGGAATTTTTCGAATACCTACTGTGGTAATTCTTGAGAATTTGCGCGTCACAGATGTCGATATGTTGAGCCAGTCACCAGTGACTTAGTCACAGTATAAACATCTTGAAGTGCTGACTATACTACTAAGAGTCCTTGACCTCTTATCTTGTTAATATATCGTGGTATCTTTGAGTTATACTCTCCGAGTCGTTGGTGACTTCACGCGTCGATTAGAAATGGGTAGAAACTGTTATAATGTTAACATAACTGAATTCTGAATTGAAATGTTATTCTTTTTTAACGACTTTGATACAAGACTTCATCAACGTTATACAAATGTTTTCTAATTTCGTTGCTAATGTTTCTATTCGTTTTCTTGCAGAAACACACGGGTACGTGCGGTTACGAGCCACTCTATTGCGAGAACAAATGCGGCATGAAGGTGCAGAGAAGGCATCTCAGCCAGCACAAGTTGGGCGAGTGCGCGAAAAGGCTGGTGGCCTGTCGTTACTGCAACAAAGAGTTCGTTTTCGACACGCTGGGCGCCCATCACGCCAAATGTGGCCGTTTTCCAGTTGCTTGTCCCCATCGATGCGAGACTGCTGTACTACCTAGGGAAGATCTTGAGATCCATTTGAAGGACCATTGCACGACACACCTTTTGTCCTGTTCTTTTAAAGATGCCGGCTGTCGTTTCAAGGTGTGTTGAGAAATCACCCTACGTTCGCTTTCTTACAAATTGATATACTCTTCGTATGCTACTACAACGCAATGTCGTTTCTTGTTCCAGGGTAACAGATTCTCTTTGGACAAACACCTAGAGGAATCCGCAAAGATGCACTTGAGTCTGATGTGCAGCGTGGTGACGAAACAGCAGCATCAGATAACCAGTCTCAAATCCGCCATCAGTAAATTGTCCTTAAATTACACGGGCACCCTTATATGGAAGATTACAGACTACACTGCCAAAATGTCCGAGGCGAAAGCCAAAGAGGGCATGGAGTTGGTTAGCCCCCCTTTCTACACTAGTCAATATGGTTATAAGTTACAGGTACCTTGCGATTAATATTTTATATCCGAATTTTTAAATAGTACACTGGATAATAATTTTACTTAAACGCTATTCAATCTTTTAGGCATCCGTTTTCTTAAATGGAAACGGCACCGGCGAAGGAAGTCACATTTCGATATACATAAAGATTCTTCCCGGGGAATACGATGCTTTGTTGCGATGGCCATTCTCGCACAGCGTGTCTTTCACCATATTCGACCAAACGGTGGTCGCGGAGAAGGCGTGCAATATCGTTGAGAGTTTTATACCAGACCCAACATGGAAAAACTTCCAGAGACCCAGTCGCGAGCCTGACTCCCTTGGCTTCGGTTTTCCTCGATTCGTTTCCCATGAAATGGTCAAGAAACGGCACTTCGTCAAAGACAATACCATGTTTATTCGGGTAAAAGTCGATCCTAGCAAAATCGTGGCCGTTTGAACGAACGATCGTTAACCGTTTCCCAATTCTGTACCATAACTCGATTACTATCGTTCTAGGTAACATAGTTAATATCATTACATTACATGTAAAACACATCGATGTGGTTATACGCATTTCTTATGTTACACGTAATGTCAGTCCAGTAAACGATAAATGGTAACCATATTTATTAACGTCGGCCGTGTACTTGGTGTGATAGCGCGAAGTATGTAGTTTACATACAGGACACGTGGTACTTAGGTCGTTGAACTGGCAGTAATACCATAGTAAAATTGATTCAGAGTATCTCTGAAAATGTTAGAAGGTAATAGTAATTCCCTAGCCGGAAATCCTTCAATGGAATCTGTATAAAAATGTTCATATCGCGTCACAGACCTTCGTACCGTCAAACTGACGTTTTTACTACGATTTTCAATTTTTCTCAGCATTTATTTTGCAACGTAAGTTTTTCCATTCCTTACAGCTGAAGATGAGCAACATTTTTAAATAGATAATATGAAGAGATATCTAGGTATGAAATAATTGTACCGAATATATCGCGATACGTTCTTTTTATTCAAATAAAGTTTTGCTCGTCTCTGCTTCAATCGTACAATGTACGTGTCATTTCGTAATTAAATGATTCATTGTTCCATATCGCGATTTAAAATTTTCACATGTTCTTCGATCGAACGACGTTAAGTTTGTTGAAGCGATATACCTTTAAGAATTCAAATCAAAGATTATTAAAGGACTGTGTATTATAAGGTTAGGAAATGTAAATATTGTGAAAAAAGTGGGAGCACATAATTCGTCCGAGAGACAGACCTACCAATGTAAATACGGATTTACTACACTTTAGTGATAATGAGAAATTGTGATTGATATGCTAGTGACTGTATGTAATGATTTAGGAGTAAGAAATAATAAAACTATTATATCATGTTCGTATATTGTATATTATCGGTGCTTAACTTATTTTTAACCATCACCAATGTTATAAGATTAAAGAAATGAAGGTCAATTACAAGATTGTTTCATAAATATTTATGTACATATATATTTACAATGTAAAAATGATAAGGTATCAGTTCTGCGAGGTTTCTGGATTTTGAGATTGTACCACCTTTCCTCCCTATAAAGATAAATTTTAATTATTAAGTAGAAAGAGAAACATCACTTTTATAAAATACACGTACAGTTTGAATCCTATACATTTGATCCAAGGCATGTGGCAGTAATGGACGCACACTGTTTATTTCCATTGCAGTTAGATGGTCTAGTTTTGCATGCAATCCTTCACTTTTTAAGAATGCATCTATCGATGTACGAAGCTTAGACATCCTTATGTCCCATATGTCCTGTAGTTTCAAGAATGTATTAGATTTATTCAGATAGATTCACTTTGTTTTTTACCAAATAATTAACTGTCTACTACTTTTACTGCTGTCCTTATTCTATCAGCATCAGATATATCGTCACTCGCAACGCTCAGCAAGAGCTGCGCTTCGTCCATAAAATGATTGCTCGGCATTTTTGTAAATAACCTGAATGAAAAAAAAATTTCTTGTCACAGGTAACTCGAGAAACTTTTTCCCGCCAAAAGAAAAACGAAGAACGTTCCCACTCACTTCGACAACTTTTCTTCCTCCTTCGCCTCGTTCAGCTCATCGGTGTTCATCCATTCTTGATTAATAATTCGACATTTCTGTTGCTGTTTCAGATTCACAGCCAACCAGATCGGAACTTTGACAGGCAGCCCAGCACGAAAGGGTCCTATCGATCCCGATATCAAGTGAATCGTATCGAAGCTAAAGTTTGGCACGATGCTGACCAACTCCTTTTCACCAAGGAACTCCACTTCACTTGGATCCATCTTCTAACCAGCAATTAATTCTTGTTTCAGACTAGTTCTACGCGAGCAAACACAACATTTTCGCAACAGTTGCCTCCCAAATCGCAGCTGCTTTCCACTAACAACTTTTGGCGGGAATTTTACCAGGCAGCCATGTTTCACAGATTCAGTCCGTGGATCCCCGTGTCGACGGTGGCACCGTCTATGTTTCTATTCCCACCAGTAACATTCAATCTTCGATCAAATATTAATAACAATTACGGTTCAGAGTAAGTATTCATACGAAATTTTCAATAATTGCTTGACAGAGTCAGACTAGCAACTCGAAGGAACTTTGTGTCATATTTACTTCTTCGCGTACTTAGTTTCGAAAGATTGTTCGAACTATCCTTCGCCGCGAGTAATAGCAAGTTAATGGCTGCGAATTTGCAATAATATCTTTACTGTCTTGAAGACATAATCTGTTTGCCGAATAAGCTTAAGGTTAAAGAGTAGTAACACTTGAGAATGTGGATGCCCATTTTTATGACATTTATTTCATTTGATGTTTAATATACAGAATACGGAATGAACATTAACATGCAGACAACCTTATAGGACCTAAGTCGACAACTAGTAAAAATGTCTGCAATTCGAGTCGAGATTCGCCTTGTTCGTTCGCATTCGTCGACTGACAATTTTTACATCACGCATAAGACTTCGAGAATTGATTTTTTTCGCAATAAATTTTAATCGTATGCGTATTAGGATTAAAGATAACGTGAGATCGTTGGTACTCGTCTTAGATATGTTACTACAGATATGTTATTATGATCTTGCGAAACATACTCGTCCTCCAATTGATATTTATATAGGATAAACTACGTCGAAAGAGTCCGCGCAACACAATATCCGTGAACCTTGAAAATATATTATTCGTTGTCGGTAAAAATGAACGTCGACCACTTACCATTCTAGCAGGGTTAACGTTTTAATATTTTCTGTACACAACAAAGAGTAAAATCTAATCTCAAATTATGGTATGTTCAGTCGGGTAATCGCAGTCTCGATAACAGGACGAAGTTGTCCAATTTGTTAACGCAATAGGGCGGAGAAACTAAATCCATCGTCGCACGAGTGAAAATTCTGTGCGTCGTTTCTAATACCAAGATGTAATTATAATTAAATTACTTATAATAATTCAATCGTTCGCAACATCTGAGTATTAACGGCGGGACTCGAAATATCATACATCGAATTACGATACTAACACCAAAGATACATTGCGTCCACTTTTCAAAAACTTGTCAATGTCTGTTTCAATCATGCATATATTATTCTCAACGATAATATCTATTATCGGCTATGGAAGCATCATCGATCGAGTTATTGTTAACCCTTTGATTGGTATCGGTGCGTCTAGGGCCGAAGTCGGCGCAGTCAAAGAGTTAAATCGGATCAAAGTGCGATCAAATTCAGATTCGTTCGAATCTGGAAGGGTTATCAGCCCTTGTCCTTGCTTTCTATCGATTCTTCGTCCATTTTATCGAGAATCGAATCGACGCGATTCACGTCCGCCTCGATCACGAAGATCGACGACGGTGGCGTCTCCTCGACGCGATCTACTTCCGCTGGAATAAGCGGCGCCATAGTCTTGTAAGTCTGAAGTTCCATCAGAGACTCGCGAGAGGGTGCTCCCGACAGATTCGAATCGATTCTGTTTTGGCTCGAGTTATCGTTGAGGCAATCGTCCGCTTCCTGTTTGTCGCTTTGCGACGAACTCGACCCGTTTTCGTTCGCAGTTTCTTTCTCACGGATCGAAACGTTCCGAGGCGCGGATGAAAATCCCTTCGCTCTGACGTCCGTCACCTGTTCGCAAAATGTACATTATTACCCCATTGAACCATTCCCCTGATAAGATACGATGTATTTTCAATAAGTAGTGGGAATTTTACGAGTGCACTCGTCGAATTCACCGATAACGACTGGATTGCCAGGAAAGGATTATTCTAGTTTAACGGCAACATTATTCTCGAGATACAAAAGAGCTTTTCAACCTCTCTCTACTATTACGAAATCGTGCCTTTATTTTTCATTTTTGGATTAGTTACAATTATGAAACCATTTGAATTGGATAAGAATTTTGTTAACATACGTACATTTCTTTTAAGAATTAATCGTACAATGTGATAGAAAGGTAATTTCTTAAACTCTTGAAAATTTCTACTGCGATTTAATTTCGTTCGCAGACTTTTGGAAACTGCGTAATGAAACATTTATTTTTGTATTTAGTTTTGTAACTTCATCAAAATTCGAGTATTTCATTTAAATTCATTTTCAATGACACTTAACTTTCAGAATTAATAGTTTTCGTTTTTCAATGAAATGCACTGTCACCTATATATGGGTGACGTGGCGATCAACGTGTTAAAAAAAAAAAAAAAAAAAAAAAAAAAACACCGAATCACCTGTTGGACATTACCTGGCGCAACAAGCTCGATCTTTGACCTCTCTGTTGAGGCTGACCAGCCAACTGTCTTTGAAATTGTCTCTGGGACCCGACCAGCGAGCCTCGATCGTGTATCACGCTGATCTCGCTGGTTTTCACGTCGCTGTGGGGAAAGAGGAGCCTCCACATGAAGTTCTTGAGCGCGGCTCGGAAGTCCTTCAGATGGTAAGCGTACAGCAACGGGTTGCCAACCGAGTTCAGATGCGACAGGATGATGCAGAAGTTCATGAGGACGTCGTTCACTTTGCACTGCGGACAAAACGCCATCACGCAGTTGATGGTGTACAGAGGGAACCAGCAGATGATGAAGAAGGCGACGATCCGCGAGAGATTCTGCGTAGCCTTCACTTCGCGTTTCCTGGCAGCGCCCAGCAGGCGCAGCATCGTCCCTGTCGTTTGATTTCCGGACCGACGTCCCGGATTCATTGTCACGATTTGCTGTAACTGCCATCGCGTTGCGATTATTAATTCTTCCAGAAATAATTAACACGCGGAACGTCACGCCCACGCCTTCCGCCGTGCCTTCACGCGACGCCTGGCTTTGTAGAATCAAAAGTAACGGGCACGGAATGTAATTGGAATTCTTTCTGAATTTTTCACAACATGGAAACCGGAATCTATTAAGTGTACAAATTAATTCTGTACCTTTACATTTACATAATTATTCGTAACTCTAGTTTACATATTTACTGGCCATTTTGTTAGAGTACCAACTTTCATAGCCATTACCCCTCAGGGGCTGTAGCATGCGAACATGCAGCTACAGCACGGGTTTAGCAACCCCGAGGTACCCGAGCTAGAATTCTTCTGTTAACTCTTTGCGGCACAGGAATTCAGGTCATAAAATAGACCCATATTGCACAGGAACTTTATTGCGTTTTAAATCAAACAAAATTGTTATATTTTTTTTTAATAAAGGTATCACGCCTATACACATGCAGCTATTGCAAAATTTCGAGGTGGGATTAAAAATGTCCCACTATGCATTACGGTCCATCAAAAAGGTGGGACACTTTTAATCCCACCGTGCCCCAAAGAGTTAAGAAGCATGTAAATAATTGTAATGAAAATTTGTCTTTATAAGTACATAGTAAGTTTACTTTAAAAAGGCATAGAATTCGTTTCTACACTTAATAGAAACGATATATATCATTTTAATCGCTGGTGTATTTATGAGATACGCTAATTGGCGCGCCGTGACGCGCGAGAGGAGTCGAATCGATTAATAAAGGTAAATTTCGAGGGGTGGCGGGCACGTGGCGATCTTCATTAATTCGTTGTCATGTTTACGGATAGCACACGCATACACCCGTAGCCGTTACGTTTACGATAAAAGTATCTGACCTGTTTTACGACCACTCTGTATATATGAGCGTAGAAGGCCGCAATTAATAGCGCGGGAAAGATGATCGTGGCGAAGTAAAGGAACACCAGGTAATCGTAATCCATCACCTCGGTGAAGATGCATTTCTCGTTGGACTTTTTGCCCGCGTGCCACCCCAAAAGCGGCAGGAAACCGACCAAGGTTCCCGCTACCCAGCACACGCAAATTATACCTGAAATAAATTGTACCCGCCATTACGCCTTCATTGTTCGACTTGCATGGGTTGCTACGCGATCAGTATTACAAATGGGATGCACAGGAGACGCTTGAAGTTTGATGCAATTCAGTGAAATTCACTGGTCATTTAAAAGAGTCATATAATTTATATATAAGAGCTGTAAGAGTTACATTGTTTCTCAGATACGTCGAGTCATAGAAGAATTAGGGTCTTCAAAAATAAGAGATGTTCGCTCGGAACTAATTAAAGGTGTGGACACCTTAGGCTGAAGGACACCTCGAGTCCGAGCATATTTCTCCAGAGAACATATTTCAAATCCTCATCCCAAAGCCTGCGTCCTAGCACAGGGATCGATCTTATACTTTTTCTCTGGAGAGGAGGGTACCAAACGCTCTAGGTTTTCCAGGTCAAGTTGTAAGATTTAGCATGTAATTTACATATGTATATATGTATAGAAGACACAAAAAATTGATAGAAGTTTTTTTATCAACATATATATAGCTTCCAAACAGGTCTTTCTGGAGATAAGAGGCAAGCATGCCATGCCCTGTCGTAATAAGCTGGGACGACATTTACGGTTGGTAATTGTTGTTGAGAGACAATTAAAATTATTATCGACGCCTAAGAGATTGTTTTACGGCGAAACGATTAGCGTAGAGTGTTTTGGAGGGAAAACTGAAAACTCGGTCAAATGTGTCGATGATAGGAGGTTGTACGTGAACATTATCGATTGCTGGGTAATAAACGCGCCTTTTTCTCTCGTTGGAGAGACGGTATCACTCAGCGTGGTTGTAATTAAAATCAGTCGTGCCATAAACAGACGAAATGCTTGAATTAATCACGGCTAGCTGACCTGGGAAATGAGGAACGTCTCACTCGGCCATTAATTTTTTGCCAGCTGGCTTCGATTCGAAACGGGGATTCGCTCTAGGGCGTAAATTACCCGCTATTCATCTTTCCCTGTTCGAAAAAACATTTGTTCAGCATGATGACTATTTTGGAGTAAACGAAATTAAAATTTATTAACATTAAACCTACCGACGTTTCATTCGCACTTTACTGTGATCGGGCGCATGAACTTTTTCAATTAAATTCAAAAATATTTTCCGTGAAATTAAATTGAATAACGCATGAAACAATCGGAAATAATTTCTATATCGCGCATTGGAACTGTATACAAAAGTTTGGAAACGGTCATTTGACAGTGGTAGAGAGTGCTAATTAGACAAAATAAATTAGGCCTGTACAAATGTACTTTCTAAGAGTCTACTCGCGAACGTAAATGTACTTCACCATCTTTTCTTTTTCTCTCCCCGTGTACGAAAGTTTTGAAAATCTGAATCCTTCGGTTTGTCAACGCAAATCACGGATCGGCTGTGGCGGTAGCCCCTTATTTCACGTTTTCCGATTCTGAAATATGTAACGGGTAGGCACAAAGGTATGATTCCCATCAATTTCTCGGGATAGAGGGAGGTAGGAATGTCCTTTGGGAAATCGAACGGATGGAAACAGTTCAATGTGTTCGGGTTGGGTGCGCACTAATATCATCTCCCGGCGCTCGCATCAAATAGGGATGGAATTTTTCGAATTTCTTCGGTAATTAATTAGTTGATCGTTCGCTTGGTAATTCATTAGAAGAAATCGATTTCTCGTCATTCGAACTGTGTTTTAAAGCGCTATCATAGAACCAACAGTTCGAGTAACAGAACAAGCTCTAAAACAGACTTCTGTACTGGTCGAAGCTCGATCGAACAGTTAATTAAAGATTGCATAAAAATATTACGCAATCGAACACGAGGACGCCGAAACTCTTTCGAATAACCCAACACGTGACTGAAAATAAAATGTTTATTCGATAATTGATCAATCGATAGAAGAAAGTTCCTCGAGGGAGTCTGCAGACTCGGATTCGTAATTAACTTTGCTTTACAAGTTTCTAGAACGTCTTACGCGCCGAGAGCGCAAACACCACCTGTTGCAACGCGAAACGCATTCCGTATTTCTGCCTCGAGCCAAGAAAATCGCATCTCGCGGGAAAATTATGATCTCGTTGTTCGTAGCGGTTGAACGCTTTTACCTAACTGATCGTAAGTTTCTAAACTTGGTTTTCGTTACATTCTACTCCACCAGTTTCACTTTACTCTTACATTTTACTCTTTACTCTTGTACGTTTTGCAGGTCGACGAACTTTATTCTGTTACAAGTGGACGGGCTGAATGTATCTTTAAATACATTCGGAACACAGGAAACGTAAGTGATCACGGACACCTATTCTCTGTAACGTTCTATAGCAACTACAACCGGCAACAATGGCATTACAGAGTACACATCTGCACAATGTTGTCTAATCAGCTGTGACACGGCTTGATAGCCTGTATTCTAATTCATAGCGGAACGCGATGGGCATTCATTATCGCGCGCACTTACGATAGTGTTCACGACTCCTCACGATTTTATGTAATTAGAAACACGATGGAGTATTAATTAGTACGTTCAGTAATGAATATGATCAAGAAGTAATCTATACAAGGGCAAGGTGTAGCTGTAATTAATAACCGCGTAGCCTAGGAACATTCGAGATCATTTTGTCGCGACTATTTTGTCACGAAAGAATCTTTTAGGACAACATAGTAGATCACCGACCTTGCCTCGACGGCAATTATATTTCAGGATGAAAAAAAAATACCACTCCGCGACCACGAAGTGTCCTCCAGATCCCCGTCAGAAGAAGAACATCAACATTTGCCCTGTACTTTCTCCAAGTGTCCTCGAATTTTGCAAACTGAATTATCCTGCATATTTCAACGTGTGCAGGTGTCCTCTCGTGTTTTCCATGTACCGTGTTCATTGTTTTGTGTGTAGCACTCGATCCCGACGAATTACCTCTGTGAAGCTCGGTCCTGTATGTAACAGGTGGCCCCTCGAGCAAACAATTCCATAAATTATAATTGCGCAGCTCCGTATTGATATTGTTTTACGGCTGCTTAATTAAACGGTCGCGTGCAAAATGTTTCTGCGAAGAAGCAATTTCAATCGGACCGTCGGATTGCATAACGCGCGACGACGATTACCCAATTTGCTGTTCGATTCCTCGAAGCTTTTGTCGTTACTGCGTTACGTGAAATTCAATCCATAATTATTATCGCTCGACAGTCATAATTCGTATTATCCTTGGGCATGCAATTAGTCGACAATGCAATTTATTTTTAAGCGTTCCCATTTATTCGTATCGAACGTTTCGTCTACTAAAAGATCAAACAAAATTAGTACTTTAGCCCCGATCAACGATTACGGTTTGGTAATAATTAATAAATCTCAAGTAAGAAGTAAAAGATCAAAGTTTTGTTCGTGATTCCTCGGACCTTTGGTCCGCTCGATTATTGACTTCTACTACTTGCGATTTCGCGTGGGCCGTACGTCCTTGTTCGAGGTTCGGAACTTTTAACGATGATCGATGTATTGTTACAGGAAATCTAAATTTACGTTCAGGGCAAAAGGAAGCGGAATCCTCGAAAAGTGCAAACACGAGAGAGACAAGCACCGGAAGTTTTACTGGCAACGAAGGAGCCATGGGGTCGGGGACAAGTCCATCGACTTCTGAACACGAATCTGAAGTCGGTTTTGAGGTAAACAATTTCAATGGCTGTAAACCTTTAAAAATACGGTCGTAATCGTATTCGTAATCACAACTCGAAAATATTCGACTACAATCGTATTCGTATTTGCAGTTACGATTTTGCCCATCACTGATTGTGAGTCACAATATATTTTTGAATTCATATTTCTTCGTATTCATATGTCAATGGTCCTAACGCACGATTCCTTTCGGAAGCTAAATATAACCTCACGAAGGGTCATCCTGACACCCTATCCGATTTCTAGGGCCTACGGTCATCGTCGTCTCTTACCTATGGCAGTTTTAGTGCGTACGGTCCGCGAGTATCCCATGGGATGCAGTATCGCCCAGTAACGATCCACGGACACCGCCACCAGGCAGAAGATACTGATCGTGCAGAGGACGATCAGGACGGAGACGGTGAAGAGGCAGGCGTACAGGTTCGTCGGCAGACCGATGCTGGCCAGGATCGCAAACGGTATGGCGAACAGCCCTACCAGCAAATCAGCAGTGGCCAGGGAGATTATGTAGTAATTGGTGCGTCGACGGAGCTTCCTCTCCTTGCTGAAAACCGTGATCACCAAACCGTTGCCGAACACCGCGCACACGGCCACCAGGATCTCGCACACTGTGTACGGTAGATTAAGCTCCGAACGCGTCGACGCGTTCACTGCTGTCACGGTTAAATTGTCGGCCAGCTCGGTGGCATTCGACGGAAATTCCATCGCCATGGAATTCTGGGAGGGAGCCCTGTTACCCAAAGATTCGCAGAATTCTATTTGAACGGCGGGTAACGAATCGAAATTCTGTGTAACATTAGTAAACGTTTATCGTATCCAACTATTACTTGGTTGCTCATCAACGTGTAACTTCTATCGATTATAGAATTCCATAGCGGAATTTTGATCGAACGAAAGAATTTAAACGAGAGTCTCGATCGTCTCTGCTGGTACCCCTCCCGCTATAGTCTCTGTCATCCTCTGTAATTCCGTGGACGAACCTATTTCTTGATCAACGAACCCACGTCGGTGTCCCTGCAGACTTTTCAACCGAGACGCGTTAGAATCTTGCAACTCGTGAACAGTAATTGCCATTGTTGATCTTCGATCCTCCTTCGTTGATGATAATCGACGGTCATTTGTCTTGGATGTAGGCTGATTGAAACTGCCAGGGGTAACGTAAGCGGAAAACGCGCGGTGGTTGCGTGACGAACGCTTTCTCCGTCGTTTTCCATGGATCCCCTCAATTTCTGTACACACAATATGCTCGACAATTGGAGCGTCACGCGAGCCTGGTGCCTGCGTGTTTAAATAAAACCTTGGGCTCCGTTCTCGACGACGGAGTCGCGAGTCGACACGGCCGGAGGAAACGGTCGTTGGATTTGTTCGCGTCTATTCCTTCCTGATCCTCGGGACTCCGAGGGACGACGATCCACCCTAAGGAGACTAACGATCACGTCGCGTTCAAAGGACGATCGATTTTAGTTTAACGGAGAGACGCGAAGGGCGTTCGGAATAAGACCGGAAGAAGGGTGCTTATTTGCATGGACGTCGCGCGCTGATCACTGATATTTGCTTCACTTTCAGGGCGAGAGGACCTCTTTGACACCGTTTAGCAGCTGTACAGATTGCCGCGAATGCAACACTGGGACTCGACCATTCGACCGAAAGAGGACACCTTAGGTACTCGATCATACAACTCTGTAAAGTCGTTGCTTTATGGCACACGAGCTCCGCGATAAACTACATTTCATTTTTCAGTCCTTGTCGAGAGGTTTTATCGTGACTCAAGGAGCTTCCACTTGTGTCAATTTACGGTTTGCGCCAACCGCCAACCTACGCCACGATTCCTCCCGCGCAAGGTTACACGCAAGGTCGAGTCACGAATCCACGGTCAACGATCTTTCAGAGATCTTTCAGCGATCTTTCGTCTTGCTATCGTGATACGGAAGACTAGATCTCGCGTCAAACATCCTAAAAATGGCTTCTGTAGGTCCTACGGGTCCTGAAAGCTTGTTACGTCTTTTGTAAACATAGCACATCTCGTCGAAAGATGCCCAAACGATGTCTAGCTACTATAGAAGCCCTCGAGGACTCCGTTCTAGAATGAACGAATGGCTCGTCCATCCCGAACCGATGTAACCGAAGACGAGCGTTCATTGTGCCGGCGTTTCGAGTCTGGCCACGTTTCGGCCGCACAGTTGCGAAGCTTATTACGAGCTTCCTCGACCTTCCAGACCATGTTCACCGGAGGGTGCTTCCACGTAGCCGACACGCGTGCCGCAAGCCACTTTGAAAGGTATTAGGGTCACGCCGCGGTCCTCTGTCGCTAGTAAAAATATTCGTGTTACTAGTTGCTACTTGGAAGGTCGAAATGAATAAGAAGCTGATCGATACAAGCACGTCGTTACTTATAAGAGATATATAAGAGAGTTTTGACACCAAGTTTATGTCGGAGGTATGCTAATCCTAGAATTAACACTTAGAAGCCTGATTTTCCGAATTAAATTGAAAAAGGTATCTCTATTTTAAGAGCAATCTCGTTATGGGTGAAACGTTAATCTTTTTTTTATTGATTATTGTGAACTAAAGGTTTCGTCAACCTAAGGTCGAAACATTTATAGTGGATAACAGCATGCTTGTGCCTACCAGCTTCTCATTAATTTTGTTCCGTCACAAGTTTCGCGGGCGTTCATCTTCTTCGCGGCGAGACCGAAGAGTTTGAATCGCCCTTCTTATCGGATTTTCAATTACCCCCATTCTTTTAAAGTCAATGGATCTTCCTCCCGACGTCGAAGGTGGAAATCGCGTGGAAATAATCGCTGCGATAGTTAGAATAATTCAATCAGTTTGATTGGCCGTATAACCTTGTTGAGTTTAAACTTTCCGCTTCGGTAGTTAATCGAATATTTGCTTAAATTCATTCCTTTCTTTTTCAGGTTCGAGAGAGTCAGTATCGCGAAGAACCAACGGCTCCGTTTGAAGGAACTACGCTGGATTAAATTTGACGAAACGCCGCAATTTTTTATCTTCACCAGAGTTTCATTCTACGACAACGGTGGGTCATGCTTCACGGGTTTCAACCGTTTATATAAGAAATCCTGCTTTTGGAATCCTTCTATTTTATTCAAGGCACGTAAAATGCTCGGAATAATTAAAAGTGCGTCGACAATGTTTTCTCTTCTCAGTTGAAATCCAGAGAAATGGTCCACCGATTCTACTTCTCGACTACCCAAGCTACGTATATTAAGTTGGCGTAGCCATTTCAAAAGGCCAATGCCAAAGTAACACGATATTTTTTTGCTATTTATTTGCTAATTATTTGCCAAAGAATTAATTTTTTTGCTCCAGCCGTTTTCGAGAAACAATGGCTCTTCTTGCAGCAAAAAAAATTCATATTCAGTGGATTAAGAGCAAATAAATAGCAAATAAATATGGCGCAAAGATGGCATCGATATCTTTGTTATGTCTTATGATACAACATGTGGCTACGTTAGCTTAATATTAAACTAGAGCAGCCATAGTTTCTCGAAAACGGCTGGAGCAAAAAAATTAATTCTTTGGCAAATAATTAGCAAATAAATAGCAAAAAAATATCGTGTTACTTTGGCATTGGCCTTTTGAAATGGCTACGCCAGCTTAATATACGTACCCAGGTTATATACACCAAACAACTCTTTTTCTTTCCATTTCCTTGGAAAAGTAATATTTTTTATGTAGTAGCCTTCTACTAACGTTCTAGAGCAGAGGATCCCTATAAGGGTGCTTCAGAATTTAAAAAAAAAAAATGCATGGGTTTTCGAGAGAATCCTATGAAGCAATTTCCACCATCGGAACTTTCTGTTCACCGTACATGCGATGATTAAAAACGGCGCGCCAACTTCGAAGAAAGAACAGATTAAAGTTTTAATTTCACAGGGACGCGGTTTGGACTAAAGTTCCTCTGTTCGAGCGCTAATGAAGGGAGGATCGACGTCGATCGCCTCGATCGCGGTTACGTCGCGACGCAATTTCGAAGTTGCGGTTGTCTCGCATCAGAACACGAAGCAGCTGATAGGAAGATTAGCGAGGCAACTCGTGATGTTGCAGCCTGGCCAAGTTTTCATCCTAAACTTTCCTCGCGCCACTCTTTCACAGGTAAAAACTCGTTTTTCTTTGGCTTCCTATATATTACATAGACGCTTATGTTTTGCAGAAGCTACCAAGTGTTTCTCAAACTATGATCCTCTGACTCCTAAGGCTGACGACAGAGATAGGACAGATTTTATTTGAGCAATATAGATAATTAATAGTTAAAGAATTTTATGAACGTAATATTTTTGTAGTATCGAAATTCACGTATATTCATGAAAATGTTTATAAATATCGTGCTCGTCGCCACACGTAGATACGAAATATAAATACAAAGTGACGTATGTCTACGTCAGCGGGTACCAGCAACAGATTTAAAGATGACGTGAAACTACGTCGGCGACTTCAAATGCGTTAATTTAATTGTAGTCGAGGGGGCCCATCGAACGTTTCCCTTCGTCAAATGGACAAACTCTGAGAATCACTGGTCAATTTCTGTCCAAACTTTAAAATGGAACAGTAGATTAAAAACGCGAAGTTCGAGCTTCCAGGAAAGGGAACATTAGAGTCATCATAAATAATAGCGGATACGATCGTGTTTTAACATCGAGCTACCTCGAATACTCTATTCTAAGCTTTTACGTCCATCTTTATTTATAGAGGCTTAGTGTATCACGACCCCGAACATGATTACAACACTCTAGCTACTAATATTTTAATCCTTACAGATGATTCGATTCTCCTTTCAATTAAAATCGCGCGTCGACGATTTTCAAATAGTTTGAAATATCGGGCGAAATGTATCGCGGCTCGGTATTTGCAAATTTCAGCCGATTCGACCGATTCGTTTATTCGATAACCAATGAGCGTGCCGCGCGAGTCGTGTCCCGAACCAATCAACGTCAATCAACGCGAGGAAGCGCGCTCTTTTACGAAACAGTCGCGAATGGTCGCGAATCGATCAACGATCGACGGTGGTCGCGCGTCACTTTCTACTACCGAATAATCGCGAATTAAAGTGACATTGTTCGTCGCTCGTGGATAGAACGCGCGTCCGACTTCTCAACCCTGTGCCGCGTAACTGAGTTCCTCCTCGTGACACACGGGGACAGCGGCGACGGTGGAGGTGGAATGGAGGCGGTTATAGGTTATGGCGGTAGTGGTAAACTCGGGAAAGAAAATCGACGGTGCTCTATAGCTGTGACGATGATGCTGTTCCACTAGATTTGCAGAGAACATGAAACAGGCTGAATGCTTCGATAGGTAAGGCGATTTCGTTTTACACTTCATTTAAAGACGAAGCTGCGACGATCTGTATCCAGATCGATGCTGACTAGGGGTGTGCGAAATTCCCGAAAATATCCGGGATTTCCGAGAATATTCGGGATTCTCGTAAAATATCCGGGATTCTCGAAAATATCCGGGATTCCCGAAAATATCCGGGATTTCCGAGAATATTCGGGATTTTCGTAAAATATCCGGGATTCCCGAGAATACACGAGATCTCGTAAAAATCCGGGATTCCCGAGAATATAGGGGATCCCGACAATGTATGGGATATGGAATAATATCTGGGATTTCCGAAAGTGTTGTTATTCTTGAAAATGCCAGCAATCCGAATGTACGGGATTCCCGGGAATCCCGAACATTTACGGGATCTCGGAATTCATGGGGAATCCCGGATGTATTCGAGATTTTGAAATTCACGGGAATCCCGGATGTATTCGGGATTTTGAAATTCTCGGGATTCCATCCCGATCCCCCGGGAGGAATTCCCGTCCCGACCGGGATCCCGCACACCCCTTATGCTGACAGCACTACCTGAGAATGAATCTCCTCGAACGAATTTTTTCGTCGCCGAATTACGGATACCGATCCCGTAACATTACGTGTAGAAAGTAATACCTTTGTATTCAATTATTTGTTAGGTTGTCCAGAAAGTTCGTGCCAATTTCTAAGAAAAATTCAAAGGCATATAATATATATATATACATGTTTTTATTGAATTACATAGGTGCCATTTTGTTCCACAACCTTTCCACTTTCTAAGGGATGTATACATGTTATTTGTTTTCAACCATTTCGATATATTCAGACCTGTACTACCTACCAAAAATCGACATGGACTTTCCGGAGAACCCAATACATATAACTTTAGTTTCACATCTGTTAGGAAGATGGTCGTTCTTTTGGAGTACCAGAAACGCACAATGCGCGATTATAAACGCATGCAACTGTCAAGTAACGCCATTATTCTAGTCCCTATCTGATTCGTAATTGGATAAACGTACTGCGAGCGAGCATTCAATACCGCAAACCAGACGACAAAAATTTTCCGTGTACGAGACGTGGCGCGTCTACGGACGTGTATAATAGTTGAATTCGAATTTGAAAATTCGAACGATACGATTTACAGATTTTTATCGCACTTCGAGCATACGAATTATATCGAATATTCGAAAGAATTCGACCGGAAGAACCCAGTTCTGGCGGAAAGTTTGCTCCGAGGAAAGTAACTAGTAGGAATTAGTTTAGCGTCTTTCTGTCATGACGGAATTATAAGTTCCTTTCTGTCGGTGTAACTCTTCGTGATGTTCCGCGAAGTGTTACGCTAAGTTTATTTATTCGTCGATCTCTTCGACGCGACAGAACTTCGCTGAACTTTATTTTCGTTTTGCTAACTCGACTGACTTCGAGTTTCATAAGTAATGCGCCCGCCATAAACGCCTTTTATTTTGGCAACATTTGTGTACGATTTACCGAATAGTATACATACATTCAAATGTCGTTTTCCTAGTTAGTGGAAAGTTTTATTTGGCGTCAAATATTGTTGGCCATTTATACGATTTAAGGGGGTATTTCACTGTGAACGCACAAAAAAAAAGCATATTTTCAATCATTTTTTTCTCAGGAACTATTGCATAAAATTGAATGAATGTTTTTTCCCCTTGAAGGTATGATTAACGAAAGTAAATATAAAATTTTTTTTTGGTAAAAAATATTTCGTCATTTATTTACGAAACAATATGCATGTGTGCAAAAAAAAAGTTAACCGCTGACGCAGGTGATTTTGGCTCTCCTGGTAATCTGAAACAGAAAATCGAACAAGTTTATTAAACTATGTCGTCACACCTATCGTCGGAACCTCCACTTATTTATTTCATCGAAAATAAACAAAATGGCAGCGTTTCTAGTAAAAAAGAGAAAAAAAAAACTATTTTTGTGTACCGTAAATCAGGTGAAATTGTAAGTAAAAATCAAAATATCAACTATTTTGAGGTTCCGACCATAGGTGTGACGACATAGTTTAATAAACTTTTTCGATTTTCTGTTTCAGATTACCAGGAGAGCCAAAAACACATGCATATTATTTTTTAAAAAAAATGACGAAATATTTTTTACAAGAAAAATTTTTTTTATTTACTTTCCTTAATCATACCTTTAAGGGAGACAA